ACTAAGAATATAATGATAAACAAAACTCAAACCTGGCCTTTAGTTTTGTGGAGTTTAGAGTTTCACGGGGGAGAGCAAATTTAGCAGAGACTTACTTATAGTATAAGTACTGAAATAGATGTCAAAACAGTGACCTGTTTTGACATGATTGGGTCTCCTAGGTTCATCAACAAGCAAGGGAGGAGTACTTAGAGAAAGCTCTTCTGAGATGGTAACATCTTATCTGAAATATGAGCAATGAGCATAATTTAACCCGGTAAGTAGAGCACATGGATTGAGGAGGAACAGAAAGAGAGACATACAGTTTGTTGGAATGGCATGCAGGAAAATGTGAAGAGCATGATAGAGTTTGGGAACCAGAGAGGGTAAGGATGGAGGTACAGGAAACAGAGCTGGAGAGCTTTGTGGGGTTCATGGCAAGCAGATCTCTTGGTGCAATAGTAAGGTGTTTAATGTGGGCATACTGGGAACCCATTGGAGTGTTTTAAAGCAGAAACTTGATAGACTGGATTTCCATTTTGGAATTTCCTCATCTTCTCACAAGATAAAAGGTGAATGTGCAGTTTGGAAGGGTAGATGATGAACTAGGGGAGACTTGCAGGAGGTGCCTCCTGGGTTCTCATTCAAATCTCAGTTTCTCTGAGAGCTACTTGGTTTCTATCCTGTGGGAAGCTTTTGATCAGCCCCTCCTGAGTAACCTGGCCCACACACAAACCCAGCTGCACAACTTTAGATTTCCCCAGCCTGGAAGGGACATTGTCAGCAGCCAATAATATATCTCTGCCCAGTTCTCCAGTGTAGAAGTCAAAGCCCTAAATCACAAGACATGCTGAGGGAGAGAAGGTTGGAATCACATGATTTCTCGGACAGGAAGAACATGAACTTTTCACTTGGGTAGTGGCAAAAGCAATCTCTCTTGGCTTAAAAGGGATTCCATGGAGCAAGAAAGGTAGACACCTGTCTGAATTGAGTGACTGATCCATACAGGGGTCTTGTGGCTGGCTGGAAAACAAATGCCCTGGATATTAGCTGGCTGTGATCCAAAAGCTCTAAGGCCCTTTCCAAGGGAGGTCACATCTCTCTCCGGGTGCAGCAATTTCCAATTACTTTAAGAAGAGGAAGGAATAGGGGAAATTTTGCAAAACGACAGCCAGGCCCCTCTGGGAGGGTTGTCCTGAATGCTCCTCACCTCTGGACTCCTTGTGCACTGCCCACCCACAGACTCCTTTATGAAGTTCAGCCAGCAGAGCCCCCAGCCTCCAGAGGGAAATGGCCTAATTAAAATCACACTTCACACTGCCAAATTGGATATGCTGGTCTCAGCTCCAAGAATGTCTTGGAAAAGTATCTCGAGTTGAGTGAGCCTTTCCCAGGAGGGACTTTTTCTTGTAAAAAAAAAAAAGGCAAAATCAGCAGATGGAAGGAGAGGAGAACCTTGGTTTTAAATTTTCTGCTGGTTTGGGGCTTAGTCCTCTTACTTTCCCTCTGTGTCCCTGTTTCCCATTGTATGTTCTAGGTCTTTCACCTCCTCCCTTCACATGAATATTGCAAGTTTGACACAAGGGGATATTTGTCATTGAGCACCATAGATTTTGTAGCACAGTGACAAAAGTTAAGAACATCAGATACAGCAAGATTTGTGTTTGGTTTCTGACTCTACCTTTAAATAAATGGGCAGGGCACTTGATCATTTGAAACCACAGTTCCTCTGTGTGTAAAATGGGAATAGTAAATATTTCAGGCAGGTATAAAGTAGGTGAAACACTTGGAGTACTTGAGAAGTAGTAACTCCTACTGTTATCATGATCAGATTTCCTTTTTATCAGACTATTATTAACAGGGACTGAGAATAAATCATTAAGAAATGAATAATCCGTGAATGTCTGGCCTTCAACTAAATGTTGAACCTCAAAATATTTATTTTATCTCCCTAAGCCTCCATATTTCCTCTACCTGAAGAGGAATTTGGAATAGCCAATCTTGAAGATCTCTGCCAACTGTAATATTCTTAAATTTTAGACTCACCAAAGATGAATTTTGTTGTTCATTTTTCCATTCATGCAACAAACATTTCAAATATAACTTGTCTGTGTCTTCAAATAAGCTGTCTCTTCTGTTCTTTCTGTATACCATATCCTGTAGCATGTCAGTAATGTATGTAAAGCTTATCCCTCATGCAGTACTTATAATAATCCAATTCATAATAAAATTAATTTATCTTCTCTTATATGGCTTGCCAGGGGTACCATTCTCCTTTCTTCATTCCACCTTACCTTCTCCAGCATAGAGAAAATAATTTTAAACAAAGTCCTTTATAATGGAAGGAAATAATAACTCATTGTTATGAGGTGCTTTCTGTGACAGACACCATGCTCATTTCTTGGCATGCTCTGCTGGACACACTGTCTGAACCATATTGGATTCTTTCAGTGCCACTTTCTCTAGGACCTCATCTACTGGTGCCACCTCAGCCCTTAGAGCCCTTCCTCATAAAGTGGCTTGCAAACATGCCTGTCTGGCTGTGATGATTGTCTTTTGTGTCAGCTGGATTTGACTGAGGGATGCATGGATAGCTGGCAAAACATTACTTCGGGTGTGTCTGTGAGGGTGGCACATTTGAGTAGGTAGACTAAGAAAAGACCACCGTCACCAATGTGGAATGGGTATCAGTGATCCAATGAACACCCTAAAGAAGACAAGAGTGGAAGAAGAACAATATTATTCCTTCTTCAACTGGAAGATTTAATTTCTCTTGCCTTGAACATCACAGCCCCTGTTTCTTTGTGTTTGGGATTTCAGGACTTTCACTACCTGGAACCCTAATCACCCTATGGTTCTCGACCATTCGGACTTAGACTGGGAGTTGCACCATTGGGTCCCCTTCTCTCAGACACTTGACCTCAGACTGAGTTGTACTGCTGACTTCTCTGATTCTCCAGTTTGCAGGTGGCAGAGGTGGGGATTCCAGGCCTCCATAGTCACAAAAGCCAATTCCCATAATGAGTATTATATATGGCATAATATATATGACAGAATGAGTGACTACCTGCTCTAAATTTTAGTTTTTTTCTTGTCATTTCCAGACATGGGGAAATGCATAACATGAGGGATGGCAGGGGAAGCAGATTTGGGTTTTCTTTCTTTCTTTGGGAAACTATAGAAAGGAACAGGTATGCTAATCCAGAAAGAGGGACATTCAATGTGGAAAACAAAAGGCAGAAAAATAAATCCCCTTTCTTTGCTCAAGCACATGGATTGCTCTGAGGGGTGCATTCTTTATACACTCTGTCTAGAGACGACAAATACAACCAGGTAGCTCCACCTCTCATGGTACAACTATCCCTTTAGGGTTCAGTGGACACCACAGCAGGCCATCACTTTACACTTCTGTCCATCTTATGTACCTCGCTTTTCTATCCCACATTCTTGCTACTCTGGGATTTCACCTGCCAGGCTAAGCAGTAGTTCTTAGTCCTTGCATCGAGCCCTGTTTCTAGGGAACCTATGTGAAGAACTTACAACATCATATTTACTTGTCATAATAACTCCATGGCACAGGAATCATTTATATTCCCAATTTACAGAGCAGAAGAAAGAATTCAAAGATATAGAATGAAAGGGCCAATATCATAAAGAAAAAATGAAAAGAAGAGTTAATACTAGGACTCAATATCCTCCCCACCCCATACCTCCAGTTAAAACCAAGGACCATTGGATTTTCAAGCCAGAATTCTTAAACATGATCCCATGTCTCTTAAAAATAATTTTAATGATAATATGTAAATCAGTCAATTTTTATCTCTACCTCTAGTGAATCAGGTACTTTTAAATAATAGAAATTATGGGTAAATGAGACAAACACTATTCTGATTCACAAGATGGTTCTTTTTTGCACATGTGTATTAGTTAGGGTAAGCAGTGTGAGTTGCAATAAGAAACATGGTAATCTCAGTGGCTTAGTAAAATAACATTTTTAATTCACATGAAAGCAGTAATCAAACATCAGTATGATAATGAAATCAAGGATAAACTCAGGATGTGTGAAATCATATAGAAGGGGCCCAGAACATTGGAAGGATGGAGGAATATGCTCCCTGTATAAACTGAGATTCTGAAGAATAAGTAGGAGTAAGGCAGGTAAAGCAGATGGGTTAGATTTATGGTTTGGGCAAGACAATGCAAGAAGGTTTAGAGGTGAAATGATTGGGTTGTGAGAGCTTTAACCCAATCAGTGAATTAATCCTCTGATGGAATTAACTGAGGGTAAGTGAGGCCCGATAGGGTGAGGCTAGAAGAGGTGTCTCATTGGGAGGGTGCCTTTGGGGTATATGTTTTGTATCTGGTGAGTGGAGTCTCTCTCTGCTTCTTGATCATCATGTGAGCTGTTTCCCATCATCATCAGACTCTTCTGTAAGTTTTAGGTGTACAGGAAGCTGAGGCAGAAAGCACATAAAGTTCTTATATGCCTCCTTCTCTTTTATTATTAACATCTTGCAATTATGTAATACATCTGTTGCAATTGATAAAAATACTGATGCATTATTTTTATTTTATTTTATTTTTAAATTTTTGATACCAGTATTGAAATCAGGAGTACTCCACCAGTGAGCCACATATCCAACACTATTTTTTTTTTTTTTGTATTTTATTTAGAGACAGGGTCTCACTGAGTTGCTTAGCACTTACTTCACTTTTGCTGAGTCTGGCTTTGAACTTGCGATGCTCCTGCCTCAGCCTCCTGAGCTGCTGGTATTATAGGCCTGCACCAGCATACCTGGCTAAATACTGATACATTATTACTAACTTAAACCCATAGTTTATCTGAGGATTTGCTTTGTGTTAAAGTGTCGTGCATCAGCCGACACTATTAAAACGTACTTATTAAAGCAAAAAGAAGGAATTGGGAAGGGGTATATATTCCCCAAAGATAAACTTAAAATAACCCTTTTTACTCTAAACTTTTTAAATTTGGATTCATCAGGACTTAGTGCTGCGGAAAGGCATATGTGTCCAAGTTGGAGAGTTGTTGCCTTGCAAAATTTGTGGAAGAACATTCTTTCCAGTAGCATTAAAAAAGCATGGACCCATTTGTCAGAAAACTGCCACTAAAAAACGGAAGACTTTTGATTCAAGCAGGCAAAGAGCTGAAGGAACTGATATTCCAACAGTAAAACCTCTTAAACCTAGGCCAGAACCACCAAAGAAACCTTCAAATTGGAGAAGAAAACATGAAGAATTCATTGCCACCATAAGAGCAGCTAAAGGCCTCGATCAGGCACTTAAAGGGGGTGGCAAACTTCCTCCTCCTCCTCCACCTTCTTATGATCCTGATTATATTCAGTGTCCATATTGCCAAAGGAGATTTAATGAAAATGCAGCTGATAGACATATCAATTTCTGTAAAGAACAGGCAGCACGTATTAGTAACAAAGGCAAGTTTTCTACTGACACCAAAGGAAAACCAACTTCTCGGACACAGTATAAGCCACCTGCACTTAAGAAGTCAAATTCTCCTGGAACCACGTCATCAGGTTCTTCACGATTACCACAGCCAAGTGGCATTAGCAAAACTGTTGTAGGTACACCTTCAGGTAAAGTGCCTTCAGTTAGCATCTCTTTGGGAAACAAACTTCAGTCCTTATCTCCTTCTCATAAAGCTATAGCAACTCCTCAGGCAGGAGCTAACATCAAATCTCGAAATACCACACCACCTAGTTTGGCAAGAAATTCTGCCTCAGGTATACTTACAAACAAAAGAAAAACATATACTGATAGCTCCATAGCCAGGCCAGATATAGACTATGCATCTTCATTTAATGGTGGAAACATTAAAGGCATTGAAGGAAATTCATCTGGACACTTACCAAAATTCTGTCATGAGTGTGGGACAAAATATCCTGTAGAATGGGCAAAGTTCTGCTGTGAATGTGGCTCTCAACAGTCGTGCTTTACCTATGTCACGATAGGTCACTTGCATGTCATCCAGGATTATGAATTCCTTTACTTTGTCTCTAGACTTTCTCCTGTGTCTACATATGAAGTATAAATTGCCACTTTACTCACCCACTGGAGGTTCTGATTGTGAATCTTCACTCTTGAGTCCACTTGTGACTGCCCATGCTGCCTTTACCTAAGTTAGAGATTCTCTACATACTGAATATTTATCAGGGCTCATCTCAGATAGCTTTCCTATTTATATCTGGTACTAGCACAAATTTTAACTTCCTGACAGTAACATAGCAAAATTCATGACAAATATTTTTTTTTCTCCTTACCTTTACTTAAACCACTCCTCTAGAATAGCCTCTCCTCAACTGATATATGCTCACATGCCCCATCCTTGAAGGGTCAGTTGCTATGCCAGTTCTCTGATTTCCATGAGTCCTCCAGCTGATGATCTCTCTTTCCTCTATGCTCTCCTAGTACTTAACCTTCTTACTTCTTATAATATGCTGAAAACATCATGCTTTGGATTATAGTTAGTTATTTTCATTTATTATCTTCTCAAAAGTACAAAACAAGCTTCCACATCTTTTTTGTCTCCATAATACTTAGCATAGGGCTATTCACTTGGCAGGTGTAAAACATATATGTGCTTTTTTGGAAGCACATAGATATTGTATCCTTTTCTTTTCTCCTTGTTTGGATCCTTAGGCAAAATTCTTGCTCTGGTGGCATTAGAATACAAAATGGTACCCTCTGTTTTTGTTTTGTTTTATTTTGTTTTGTTTTTTTTTTTAATTCAGAGCCTAGCAATATTATTGGGAAAGCTAATGCTCATTAAACCCAGAATGATGGAGTCAGTCCTCCTCTCTCTGTTTGCACTTATAGCACTCTATACTTCTAACTCTTCCCTCTAGAGACTTCACCCCCAATGAAGTAGTTGTAACTGGTGCCCACATAGATTTCCTTCCATTCTCCACAGTTTTGAGTCTGGACTGGCCAAAGCTTACAGTGCTCACAACCAGAGAACCTCCACTTAGACAGGCTGGCAGGCAGTCTTCATCTTCAACCCTCTTGGGAAACTCTGCAGCCAAGAACTAAGTCACAAAGGGGCATGAAACTGGGCTGTATTGCCTCAAGATGAGGCTAACTCTATAACTCCAATGCTGCTTCACCTGTTCTAGTGAATGAGGCAGAATCTTTGCCTAATTTCTTCCTTTGCTCTATTAGCAGAGGTCTTTATGCCTTTTCCATAAAGGAGAGCCTTTCTTATTGGTGAATTTTAGAATGCAAGGGAAATTACCAGAAGATTTTTTGCGTGCGCATGTGCGCGCACACACACACACACACACACACACACACACACATACGTATAAATACACAGAGACATACATATAATATACAAAGCATTTCTATGTACTTTATCACACACAAAAAAAATTGTCTGCCACTCAGGCTTTGTGTAGTTATCTAAACTCCACAACCTAGCAGTGTTCTCCCGTGGCTGGCTCTTTTGCTTTCCTCATCTCCCCTAAATAAGATTTGTCTTAGCCATTATTTCTCTTCTTAAGATGAGAAACCTAGTCCAATGACTTGCCCGCTCTTTGCAACATTATGTATTCTGCATTTTCCCAGGAGATATTATTCATATTTTAGCTTCTAAATTTCTTTCTTTTAGACCTTTCTTTTCCCTCCCTGACCTCACAGCTGAATCTTCTACTGGATCTCAGGGACCATGGAGCAATAACTTGAAGTGGCTTGGTAGAGAGTTCCATGGCAGAGGGCCAGTTCTTTCAACGTTTCAACCCAAAGAGATTGGAAGGAGAAAAAATAGAGCACCCTGGAGGCAAGAATCCTTGAAAATCTCTTTTTGCTTAGTGAGAATGAAAAAGTTCTGTTCATGACTTTTACCACCAGGTTTAGGCCTCCACTGAAAAACAACAAGGAATTTGGAATATCTGATTAAAATGAGTATAAATATTTACCCACATATGCTGAAATATTCTTGTGACATTTAGTCTGATGCACACTGCCAGGAGAGAAGGAAGCTCCTGAGCCAAACACAGGAATTTTTTATTTTTAATCTTCCTTGCGAGTAGAGCAAACATTTGCAATGATATAAAATGTATTAAATTCACTGACTCTGGAATTCATAACTAGTTATGCATAGAGTACTATCGTCTCGCTCAGAACTCCTATGTTTGCAAACTCTACATTACTTACATTTCCTATTACTCTTCAAGAACATGAACAGGATCATTCATATTGTTATCATTATTATAATTAAATAGAAATGCATTCATGTCTTAATACTGTAACAATCACATAGCTATTATTAAGTGCATGTTTCTACTTGGAGAGTGTTTATCATTGCAAGGTATTTTTATGTTCATGATCCAGGGCATTGTAGGCACTCAAATGTTTTTCAACTCTCACTCATATGTACTGTGTAAGAAACTCCCTGCTAAGCGCTGTTCGTGGATTTTCACATTTAGTAGAAGGATGAGTAGAGTTAGCAGGGAAAATATTATTTCTGTTTCAACAGGTGGAAAAATTGGGATTCAGATTGGACGTAGGACTAGAAAAATCATTTGATTACAAATGTGTATTACACGCTCTTTATGCATTGACCCTGTAGTAGATGCTGGATACACAACACGCCCATGCTGTCGTATTTGTATTAATTACGGACAGTGGAAGGCACATATAGAATCAGAAACAGAAAAACTGGGATGCGTAGGGTAAGCATGGGGAATAGGTACCTAACACTACATGATGCACACGTAGGAGGCAAACACAAAATCAGAAAAGGTTCTTGAAAGAGGCTGAGATCCCTCTAAGACTGAGAAAGAGTTGAATGCAGGGCTGTGAGGACAGAGGCCTGTGCTCACGGTGAACATCTCATGCACAAAAAAACGAATGCATGGGGGAAATGCCACAGATGCAGAGGTGCTTGTGCTAGACTGTAACAGAGGGCACACACTGGGACAACGGTGGAGGGAACTCAGCTGTCAGATTTTGGTAGAATCCAGGTTATGAAGGGCCTTGAATGCCATGCTAAGGAGTTTAGGTCGCACAATGAGGAAATGGCCTGAATTCCTTAAGTCTGCTTAATTCTCTCTTCTACACTCCAACTTTGTGTGTACACATGTGCATGTGCTCAGGAATCTGCATACATATACTCTGTGTTTTCAGGACTGTGAGTAAACTGGTGAGGACTGGATATTCATCCAGGGGCAGCATAAATCAGAAATGTTTTATTTCAAACACACTCAGTGGTCCGAATCAGGCTGAGAAAATTTATATCCAGAAGCACTGGTTCAAAATTCCAAAGAAGAGGAAAAAAAAATGTTGCAATTGGATAAACACATAATATTTGTAAGTTTCTTGGGGCTGCTGAAGTGTTTGGATGTTATGTGGTCCTTGTAAGTTGAAAATGTTCCTTGTACACATATTTACCACGATGTTTTTATTTATTATATTTTTAAGCTGATGGTTCTTTGGAACATTCCATTAGATCTGCTGTCCAAGGTGAATGATCACTAGGACCGAGTCAGTGAGAAGAGGAGGTTCATATTCATTCCTTGTGCCTTAAGTTTCTTCCCCATGCCTTGACTTGGCCAATTTCTACTCTTCAAGGCTTAGAGAAGACTTTCTTGAATTCACATCATCCTCAGATATGCACTTCTTAGTACTGTGCGCTTAGAGAAGACTTTCTTGAATTCACATCATCCTATAGATATACACTTCTTAGTACTGTGTGCTTCTCTTTTAGTTAGTTTATCACAGTTGTACTCTAAACAACCATTTATATATTGTTTGCATATTCATGCTTCTCTTCCAACATTCCGTATAATGCCTGGGCATAGAGAGGGTCTGGCTCATCCAATAAATGTGTTGAGCTAGTGAAAATCAGACGAATATCAAGATAGATTATCATCATGCTTGTCAATGCCATGTCTAAATACTTCATTAGCATTCAAAGGATTCCATGAGTGTTTACCAAAATTGAAGTTAACCTTGAAGTTCTAAGAATTACAACTTCAGCTAATAGTTAACAGATTATGTACGATGTCCCAGAATCTGAGCTGAGCACCTGATGTCTGATGTTCTTAAATGAACCACCACAACCCCTTTATAAGGTAGTAACAGTGGCTGCGACAGAGACTTGTGTCTGCCCTCCATGATGAGAAGCTATTTTTGGAAGGTGGTTGCCTCCTCAAGACCTATTTTCCAGACCTGTTGGCATCCAGGTGGGGTACATGAGTGATTCTCTTTAATGAAATGTACAGAAGTGACATGCATCACCTCTGGGGAGGGGCATTTGAGTCTCCTTCATTCCATCACCAAGATCTCCCTTCCCTTTCTAAAGTAACCATTGAGATGGTGTGTCGAAGATTGACACAACATGATGGAGGCAGCTTGAGTCTCTGTAAAACTTCACGGAGAAAAATCTTCCAAACATAGCCAATAGGTATTCAAATATTTGACAATTTTTGACAAGGACATGAGTAAAAAAATACCTTAAAAAATTTACTATGGTGATCTGGGGTTGTGGCTCAGTGGTAGAGTGCTCGCCTAGCATGCAAGATGCTGGGTTCGATCCTATGCACCACATAAAAATAAATAAAATAGAGGTATTGTGTCCAACTAAAAAATATATTTAAAACATTACTATGGTAAGGATGCCACTAGGATTCAAGGATGTATCCATTCCAACATTGAACATTACTTTAACTAAATAGATATGATCATTATGGTCATTGCACAAAGGCACAAAGTGAGGCCTAGAGGGGATAAGCATCCCTTGGAAATTAAATAGGTATTAAGTGATAGTAGTGACCCCTTAGTTTCATTGCTAGGATGGGTGGTTGGGGATTTATACTATATGCTTGGAAAGGGATAGATTGGGAACCTGAGGATCAGCTTCCATGGAACGTCACATAGGATTGAGAAAACTTCAGTTGTCCGATGTTGAAGAATGGCAGTGTAGCTAAACAGGGTGAGAGGCTGTGGTAGTTCCACATCAAGAGAGCTATGCAATACAATTGGCTCCATGTACTATGATCCACATGTGTCAAGGACATTAAAGACATACCTTTA